AATGTTACCAGTTGACAAACGAATCAGTTGAAGGATGACTGGTGTAGAGTTAATGTTTGTTCAATGTTACCAGTTGACAAACGAATCAGTTGAAGGATGACTGGTGTAGAGTTAATGTTTGTTCAATGTTACCAGTTGACAAACGAATCAGTTGAACGATGGCTGGTGTAGAGTTAACGTTTGTTCATTAAACTGATTCGTTTGTCAACTGGTAAAGTTTGGGAAGTTAAGAAGAAAAATAACCCTTGAGATATTCGTGAACAAAGTTAAATATATTAATACGGTGGGCCAACGATAAGTTTACGGACTTACAATGCTAAATTCCAGGGTTAAATTCCTCTCGGTGGACATAGCAGATAGCTCAAAGTGGCTTTGCTCTAAAAACAAACAAACAAATAATTATTGCGCATGACATAAATAGAGAATAAATGGACCGTCTGCTCCGTGCTCACCATAGAGATCGAACCCCGAGTTTTAGCGTTATAAGCCCGAAAACTTACTGCTGAGCTACCGAGTGTCTTAACTTATGAAAAATAAACAAAACTGGTTTTGAATAATAAGAAAACTACAGCCATCATCTAAAGATATAAAGAATATGCAATTCATAGTTACACGATGAAAACTTATGTTCATATTATTAAAAGAGTTATTCATCTTCCTGTAGTTCAAGAACTGGCGACATTTTACATCTTTGGAAACTTAGGCAAGTGAGATACATATGTCAATATTCCGAGAAAAAGAGCCTAATAATTAACATTAGATTTTACATCGTACTCGACGATAAATACATAAATAAAAGGGTGTAAGACTAAACTAGAATTAAAACTTGGTATTTAATGTATTAATATTCAAACCGTCTGCTTAAAGGTCAGTTGCAAGACAGTTGATCCATGGGGAAGCAGTGACAGCTGAAGCTTATGACAGCGTTTCCATCTACTTCAGCGACATCGTGGGTTTCACCTCAATCTCTGCACAGAGTACACCGATGGAGGTCAGTGGCTTGTTTTTATCCGCTTTACACCTTTTGAAAAGCACTTTCTGTATAGGGCCTCCTTGCTCGAAATGAGGTTGCACCTTATAATTTTAATATAATGTGTTTTTTCTTCATAAAGAACCCCTTATTGTTAGTTATGACACAAAGAAATGATCTTGTTTGAATTTCGCGCAAAGCTACACGAGGGCTATCTGCGCTAGCCGTCCCTAATTTAGCAGTGAAAGACTAGAGGGAAGACAGCTAATTATCATCACCCACCGCTAACTCTTGGGTTACTCTTTTACCATCGAATAGTGGGAGTGACCGCCACGTTATAACGCCCCCACGGCTGAAAGGACGAGAATGTTTGGTGGGACGGGGATTCGAACCCGCGACCCTCAGATTGCGAGTCGAGCTCCCTAACTACTTAGCCATGCCGGGCCTCAGCTGAGAAAGAAGGCCGGTAGAAAATTACTTGAAGTTAGCGATAAAGGGAAATATCGTTTAATGCTGCGAGTACCAGTCAGTACCTCTGCATAGGTCGAACGGTTCATGTGCTACGGCTCAAAATGATGGTAGGGGCGGCTCATGTCCCCATTTATAGCATTACATTATAATGCCGGTGTTGATGAGTTTCGTTGATAGTTACTTATTATTTTATTCTACAATGAATGAATGAAATAACTATGGAAACACAATCGATACATTTGCAGAAGTCACATAAACAATGAGTAACAGCAACTAAACGGCGAATTTATTGGTGGCACAAAACATTATCAAACATGCAAAAACAACAAAAACAAAGAAACAATAAGTTGTACAAATTACTAGCATTCTGTATGCAAGTCCTTTGCTTTACACAGATCATTACACTTCGTTTTCATGCTGCCAAGCAATGCATCAGAGTACAGTTATAAAATAATATCCTGTAATACCCGCCTTTTAATCTCTTCAGATTTTTAATAAGCCCTTGCTCATATCGGGATTTTGTGCAGAACAATATATGGTTGAGAGTGTTATACAAGAGTACCAATCTATGGTTGTGAGTGTTATACAAGAGTACCAATCTATGGTTGTGAGTGTTACATAAGAGTACCAATCTATGGTTGTGAGTGTTACATAAGATTACCAATCTATAGTTGTGAGTGTTACATAAGAGTACCAATCTATGTGTTGTGAGTGTTACATAAGAGTACCAATCTATGTGTTGTGAGTGTTACATAAGAGTACCAATCTATGGTTGTGAGTGTTACATAAGAGTACCAATCTATGGTTGAGAGTGTTACATAAGAGTACCAATCTATGTGTTGTGAGTGTTACATAAGAGTACCAATCTATGGTTGTGAGTGTTATACAAGAGTACCAATCTATGGTTGAGAGTGTTATACAAGAGAACCAATCTATGGTTGTGAGTGTTATACAAGAGTACCAATCTATGGTTGTGAGTGTTACATAAGAGTACCAATCTATGGTTGTGAGTGTTACATAAGAGTACCAATCTATGGTTGTGAGTGTTACATAAGAGTTTTTAAAGAAAAGGTA